TTGTCAATGGCCTTTGCACAATGTCCATGTCTTTGAATACTGACCATTGAAATGATTGCTAGGAAAATAATACAGCACTTAAAATCAAGTTAAGGTGTTCTGGTAGTGTATAGTTCATAGCAAGTTGCACTGCTAATTAAAAGATGGGGTGGTTCTGGCAGTTCGAATTTACGGCCATTTGTCCCATGGGGGAAATGGGCAATTTCCTCCTGTGCAAATGACAGCCTCTGAAAAACCACTGGAGGGTCAGCTGTGAGGCACCTCCAACCTGACAGGAATGAAGTTTTTTTAGTTTTAAAATCTAACTACTTAGAATTGAGTTACTCCTATCTTTTCTATAACTATTTTTAGAAAGTAATATTCATGATGAATGATTTTTAAAAGTAACAACTATTTTAAAACGGCATCATTATCACAGAACATGTTCACCACCTGCTTTATTTCATTAAATACTATTCCAATTACTTTCCTTTAAAAGAAAATAGTTACTATATACTCATTAATAGATTAAAAAGTTTAATTAAACTAACAGTTATCATACATATTTAAGTGGCTATATCGACTAGTTTACTTCAAATTTTAGGATTTCTTTTGTCATAGATTTAGATGTTAGTAAGTGAATTTTTAGGCATAGCAATGATACAAAGTAATTTAAATTTCCACTTACCTGGCATGTTGCTTTTCTCAGAAAAAAAAATTCTTTATGTAACCATAAGGCCACTTTTTGGATCAAAAATGTTCCCACAAAATTTTGTTTCCTAATAAGTTTGCTTTATAAACTTAAAAGTTAGTGTGCTGATAAAACCTGTCTTTATCCGTGTCTCTGTTTTTTTCCTCTCTGTTCTTTCTGAAAATCTTTTGTGTGTCCTTTGTTCAGTTACAAACAGGAAATGTGGTGATGGAGGCTTCTAGAGTTTTGATCTGAAAGCAGTAGGCTAGTAAATTGTTTTGTAGAGTGAAAAGAAAAACCTCACAAACCTCTGCGTTCTGACATTTACATTTTATCAATTTGTGAATTGAATTTGATAATAACTAATTAAGATCAAATATAAATTGATCAGAATTACCATAGGGAATACAGAAGTCCTCTCAAAAGTGAATTCATCGTACTATATAACATGGGAGAATCTAGAGAGTATTATTATGACGAGTGAACGAACTCAGTCTCGTAAGGACAAATATTGCATAAGACCACTATTGTAAAATTAGAAGAGTAACTGGTAAGACATGAATAAAAGGCCAAAAGAAAAAAGGAGGGAAGCAGGGGAGAGAGAGTGGGGAAGGGAGGAAATCACTACGATAACAAAATTTAGTGAGAGGCCGAGAGAAGAAATTAGGACAGGTTCAATGGGGACTTGAAAAGACAGAGTAATAGTAGTCCTAGACCAATGGTGATTAATTTTATAAAACACAGTGTGTGAGAGTGATTTGAGACACAATGTGAATGTAGGAAAAGTGTGAAACAATGTACATGAGTGATACGCAACATCTATGAATTTTTTTTTTGCAAACCAAGATAAAGTAGAAAAAAAGATAAAGAAAAAAAAGAGTAAACAATTGGATAATTGGTTTTTTTTTCTTCATCTTCCAAAATGATACAAAATAAAGAGAAAATTTTCAAGCAAGGAAAAAATAGTGAGTTCAGCACATGAGAACAAAATAAAGTCTCCTGCTCTGATGAGTAGAGGCAAAAGCTTCGCCTCTGGATGCCCAGTTGTGGGGGATGTGTGTGTGCTTGTGCATACTCATGCACGTACAATGAAGAAAAGGGAATTAACACTTTTTTGAGTGTTTCCTGTATAAAAGGGAGCTCTGGTGGCCTAGTGGTAGGGAGCTACACAACCAACCGAAAGGCACCTGGTTCAAATTCACAAGTTTCTCCATGGGAAAAAGACAAGCAATCTCATCCCATGACATTTTCTACCTCTGAACAACTGCTGCAAGGTCAGCTATGAGTCAATCTGACTGACCTAACACCACCATCACCACTGAATATTTGCAGTAGATTCCAAGAAACTACATTTTTTATTATTAAGCAACTTTCTTTTTGTATTATTTTTATTAGTTTGCATGCAATAATTCATATGCACTGTTTTTCGTTCATGTACATTGTTTTATACAAATTTTCATTTTCATTGTGTCATTGTGTCCTTTATCTATCTATGCATCAGAGAGCTGAACAATGACTAGAGATAATAAAAAGAGAATTGACGCCTTTGAGCTGTGATGCTGAAGATGAGTGTTGAATATACCACGGACTGCTGAGAGAACAAACAGATTTGTCCCAGAGAGGGTGAACCTGGGCTGCTCCTTGGAGTCAAGGATTCTGAAGCTCCATCTGACATACCTTGGGCATGTTGCGAGGAGGGACCAGTCCTTAGATAGGGACATCATGTTTTGGGTGGGTGGGGATGGAGGGACAGCACAAGAGAGGAAGACCCTCAACGAGATAGATCAATTCAGAGATTGAGGTAATAGGAGTGTGTCAGAGACAGTGAGGTTGGCACAGGGCAGAGCAGGGTTTGGGGCTCTTGTACATAGGGTTGCTATGAGTTGTAAGCCACTCGACAGCACATAGCAACAACAACAGCAATGTCTATTATTAGGGATCTCTGATAGCCTCGTGGTAAGAGACTATGCTGCAAATCCAAAAACACACAATTCAAATCCACCAGCTGCTCTGTGAACAAATCATGGGCAATCGCCTCTGAAAATCACCTGGAAGGTCAGCTATAGATTGGTTCAAATTTGACACCACACAACAATAACAGTATTTATGCCTTAAGCTAGGGTGTGTAAATTTGGTCCTATTTTTTCTCCTATATTTTCTATGGTTTAGTGCTTTTCCCCTATGTTTCTGATCCACCTTGAGTTGATTTTGCATATGGTGTGAGATGTGGATCCTATTTTAGCTTTCTAGGGGAATATGCCCAGTTTTGCCAGCATGATTTGCTCAAAAATAAGTTGTGATTTCCCTATTTGATAGGTTTTGATTTTTTTTTTTTCAAATACCAATTAACCACAGGTGGTTGTTGTTTGTTAGGTGCTGTTGAGTCAAGTACAACTCATAGCAATTCTAAGAACAAAATGTCTGAACTCTATTCTATCCTGTGCCATCCTCACAATTCCTTACACAAAAGAGCTGATTGCAGCAGTCACCATGTCAATACATTGGATTGAGGGTCTACTTCTTCTTCACTGACCCTCTACCCTTTCCAGCATATGTCCATCTCCAAGGAATAGACAATAGGTAGATGGGTTAAATTCAGTCTTGAGTTACAACACTTAAGCATGCTATGGGCAGATAAGCATTAAAAGAATATGGAAGGAGTACACAGAGTAACGGTAGCAAAAAGACTGGCCAACACAGAAGTATTTCATGAAACAACTTACGTTCAAGAGGTAATGGTGATAAAAGAGGAAGTTCAAGCTGCTCTGAAGAAATTGGTAAAAAACAAGGCCCCAGGAATTCATGGAATACCAACTGACATATTTCAACAAACCATGGTAACCTGGACATGTTGCAAGGAGGGACCAGTCCTTGGAGAGGGACATCATGTTTGGTGGGGTAGAGAGACAGCACAGGAGATTAAGACCCTCAATGAGATGGATTAACTCAGTGACTGGGGTAATGGTAGTAGGTGTGTTGAAGACAGTGAGATAGAGCAGGATTTAGGGCTGTTGTACATAGGGTCGCTATAGTCGCAGGTGACTAGACAGCTAACAACAATAACAACAACACCGAAATGCTCATGAGGCTGTGCCAAGTTATCTAGAGGGCAACCATCTGGCCAACTGATTGAAAGATATGTTTATTCCCCCCCCCCAAAAAAACCCCCTTAAAAAAACCCACACAATATCACACACAAATAAAATCCTGCTGAAGATTGTTCAAAAGTGACTGGGACATAATCTGGGTTTAGAAGACACCGTGGCACAAGGGACATCATTGTGAATATCACATGAATCTTGGTCAAAAGCATCGAGTACCAGAACAATGTCTATCTGTGATTCATTGACTGTGCAAAGGCATTTGATCACAACAAGTTGTGGCTAACCTTAAAAAAAAATGGGAATCCTAGAACACCTGATTGTGCTCTTGTGAAACCTATACTTTGACCAGGAGACAGCTATTCAAAATCAGAACCATGACACACAGTGTGTGTCAAGGATTTGTCCTCTATCCATACTTTTTCAATTTGTATGCAGAACAGATCATTCGAGAAGCTGGATTTTATAAAGAGGAATGTGGCATCAGGATTGGAGGAATATTCATCAACAACTTTCATCATACACACGATCTTACTTGCTGAAACTGAGTAGGACTTAAATCACCTTCTGTAGAGGGTCAAGGACTGTAGTCTTCAATATGGATTGAAGCTCAACATCAAGAAAATAGAGGTCCTCACCACTGGGCTAATTTGCAGCATCATGATAGATGGAGAAGAGATTGAGATTGTTAATAATTTCAACTTGCTTGGTTCCACAATCAACACTCTTGACAGGAAATCAAAAGATGGATTGCATTAGGAAAGTCTCCTGCTAGGAACTTCTCAGAGTGCTGAAGGACAAAAATATCATTCTAGAGACTAAGGTGTGGCCGATACTGGCCATGGTATTACAATTACTTGCTATGTGTCAGAGAGCTGGACAATGACCCTGTATGACAGAAGAATTGATACCTTTGGGTTGTGGTGCTGAAAAGGAGTATTGAACATATCATGGATGGCCAAGAACACTAACAGGTCTATCCAGGAGAGGGTGAAACCAAGCTGCTCCTCGGAAGCAAGGATTTTGGTACTTTTATCACATAATTTGGGTCCATAGCCAGGAGTGACCAGTCTTTGGAGAAGGATATTATGTTTGGAAGGGTGGAGGGACAGCACAGGAGATGAAGATCCTAGGTGAGATGGATTGACACAATAACTGAGGTTATGAGGGTAGGTATAGTAGAGACAAAAAGATTGGCTCTACCACCCTGATCGCCTCCACAGACGCACTGCCCAGCTGCCCCCGCTGGACATCTGCAACCTGACTGAGATTCTTACAAGTGACCACCCAGAAGTCGGCCCTGCCAGTGTGCGCTGTACAGCTGCAACTTGAGTGAGGTCCCCGCAAGTCCTCACACGTGCAGGTAGTCCCACCAGGCGAGAGCAAGACATCTGCAAACTGAGTGAGTTCCTCATGTGGGTCCCCCGGCATCCCTACTCAGTCAGGTAGCCCCGCCGGGCATGGCCAGGACAATTGCAAGTTGAGTGATGTCCCGGTGCATGCCCATCCAGAAGCTAGCCCTGCTGGTCACCAGCAGGACATCTACAGCCTGAGTGAGGTCCTTGCACATCCACACCCAGGAAGGAGCCCACCCCCCACCAGGCGCGAGTGGGACAGCTGCAAACTGAGGGAGGTCTTCCCACGTGCCCACCTGGATACCTAGCCCCACCTAGACAGCTAGTCCCAACTGGACAACTAGCCCCACCAGGCTTGAGCCATACAGCTGCATTCTGAGTGAGGTCCCCTCTTGTGGCATCTGAGCACACTCCTGTGCTTGTGCCTGCCCCATCTGAGTCTGGAAAGAGGGGATAAATAATATATACTGCATTGAAACAGACGAGGGAAAGAACTGTCTAAAAGCGATATATGATTAGCTATTATTATCATGATAGGAGTTCAGAATGAAGGATGCATATTGGAGTGGACTTGTGGGGAGGGATTGTATAACAATGAAATAATTTTTATTTTTCTGTTCAAAAAGAAGAATGAATTGGGTGGGGAGGAGGAGTAGGGAGAAAAAGGCAATGAATGAATGGGAAAAAGTCTCTTTAAAGTGCATTAAAATTTAAAAATAAATTTTAAAAAGTTAAAAAAAGATTGGCTTGGGATAGAGCAGGGTTCAGAATTGTGCATAGGGTTGCTATGAATCATAATTTACTTGATGGCACATAACACAACAGATGGAATAATTTCTGGGTTCTTAATTCTATTCCATTGGCCTGTGTGTCTGTCATTGTATCAATACCATGCTACTTTGGTTACTACAGCTGTGTAGTAGGTTTCCAGATCAAGGAATACTATGCCTCCCACTTAATTTTTATTTTTCAGATTAGCTTTACTTATCTGGGATCACTTTCCTTTAACCTGTTAAATCCCCTTTCTATCTCTTTGAAAAATGAGTTTGGCATCTATCTTGAGAGTGCATTAAATCTATGTAGAGTTGTAATTGTCACTATAATGAGTCTACTTATCCATGAATAGAGAATATTTTTTCATTTAGTTAGGTCTCTTATTGGGTTTTGTGATTCCTGACTAAAAACAGAGTACCAAAAGAATGCCTTTCTGTGTTACCTTGACTGTGCAACGACATTTGACTGTGTACATTTGCCTGTGGCTAACCTTGAGAAGAATGAGAATCCCAGAACACCTGATTATGCTTATGAGAAACCAAACTTGTACCAGGAAGCAATCATCAGAACAGAGCAAGAAAACACTGTATGGTTCAAGATAAGAAAAGATGTGCACCAAGGATGTGTCCTGTCTCCATCTATACATTTTTAATCTAAATGTGGAACAGATCATCCAGGAGGCTGGCTTTTATGAAAAAAATTGTGGCATCAGAATTTGAGTGAGACTCATCATCTCATCAACAACATGTGTTATGTAGATAACACAACCTTGCTTGCTAAAACTGAAGACTACCTGAAGCATCTACTGCAGAAAGTCAAGGATTGCAATCTTCAGTATGGATTGAAGCTCAACATCAAGAAAACAAAGCCTCTCAGCACTGGGTCAATTTGCAGCACCATGATAAATGGAGAAGAGATTGAGATTGTCAGTAATTTCAGCTTGTTCAGGTCCACAATAAACACTTTTGGAACCAGCAGACTAGAAATCAAAGAGTAATTGGATTAGGAAAGTCTGCTGCCAGGAACTTCCGCAGAGTGCTAAAGTGCAAAGATGTCGATCTAGAGACTAAGGTGTGCCTGATCCAGACCACAGTTTTTGCAATTACCCACTACGCATCAAAGAGCTGGACAATGAATAAGCATGATAGAGGAAGAATTGAGGCCTCTGAGTTGTGATTCTGGAGAAGAGTGTTGAACATACCATGGACTGCCAAGAAAACAAATAGGTCTATCCTGGAGAGGGTGAAATCAAGTTACTCTCTGGAGGCAAAAATTTTGACGCCCTGTCTCACATATTTTGGACATATGGCAAGGAGGAACTAATTGTTGAAGAAGGATATCATTCTTGAAAAAGTGGAGGGACTACACAGGAGAGGAAGATTCTGGATGAGATGGATTGACACAGTGACTGGGGCAATAGGGACAAGTTTGTCAAAGACAGATTAGTTCAGGATAGGACAGGGTTTAAGTCTATAGTGTATAGGGTCGCTATGAAGCATAGGCAACTCAATGGCACATAACAACAGCAACAACATCAACTGATTTTTGTACTAATGTTTTGTAGTGTTCCCTGTAAAGATCCTTGGTACTTCTAGTTAGGTTGATTCCCAACTATTTTATTTTTTTATTGTTTTATAAATTGATATTTTAATTAAAGTTTATAGAGAACATGAATTTCCATTCATTCATTGTTGTACGTTTTCCTCCCTGCCCACCCCTCCCCGAGTTTGTTTGCCTTTGAAAAAAAAATATTTCATTGTTATACAAGTCTCCCTCCCAGTCCACTTTACTATGCAGCTCTTATTCTCAACTTCTGTCATGCAAATAAACCTAATCATATATTCCTTTTAAGCAGTTCTTGCCTCATCTGTTTCAGTGCAATATACTGCATGCAAGTTGAAAAGGTATGGAGACAGGACACATCCCTGGCTTATACCTTTCCCAATTTTGAACCATGCAGTGTTTCCCTGTTCTGTTCTGACAACTGCCTCTTGGTCCAAGTATAGGTTTCGCATTAGAACGATCAAGTGTTCTGGGATTCCCAATGGTTTAACCATCTCTTTGCCAATCTGGATGCCTTTTATAGTCTTCTCTTGACATATTACCCTTGCAAGTACTTGCAATACAATATTGAATAGAAGTTGTAATAGTGAGCATCCTAGTCTGGTCTCTGTTCACAAGAGGAACCTCTTTAATCTTTCTCCATTCACAATGATCCATTCCTATTTTACCAAATGTTTTAATAAGGATGGGGTGTTGCATTTTGTCAAAGGTCTTTTTATGTATTATTTGATAGGATCATGTGGTTCTTGTTCTTTGTTTTGTTAATGAAATGAATTATAGTGATAATTTTTCTTACATTGAACCATCCTTGCATATCTGTCATGAAACCCTCCGGTCATGATAAATTACTTTTTTAATATACTATTGGAATCTATTGGTCAGAATTTTGTAAAAGATTTTTGCATCTTTGTTCATGAGAGATAGTGGTCTAAAGTTTCCTTTTTGGTAATGCCTTTTCTTGGTTTTGGTATTAATATTATGCTTGCTTCATAGAATTACTCAGGGAGTATTCCTTCTTCATCCATTTTTTAGGATAATTAAAGTAAAATTTATGGTAACTCATTTCTGAATGTTTGGTAGAATTCAGCTGTAAAGTCATCAGGTTTTTAGGGGGAAGTGTTTGGGTTTTGCTTTTGTTTATTGTTGCGTTTTTTCTTTTCTTTATGATCTCTATTTCTTTTTCTGTGATGGGTTCTGTTCAAGAGTTCTATATCTATCTGTGTCAAGTTTGGTCAGGTTTGGGTTTCTAGGAATTTGTCCATTTTCTCTGGATTTTAAAATTTATCAGAGTATGGGATTTTCATAATATTCCTTTACTGTCAATTTCATTTTAGCTAGTTCTGTTATGACGTCATCTCTTTCATTTCGTATTTGAGTTGTCTTTTCTTTTGTTAAGTTTGCCAATGGTTTATTTATTTTATTTATCCTTTCAAAGGACCATGTCTTGATCTTGTTGATCATTTTAATGGTTTTTCCTTTATTCTATTTCACTGATTTGAGCCCTTGTCCTTGTGTTTTCCTTTCTTCTAGAGACTATGAGATAAGCTCCTTAGTCTTTTTCTAGTTGATGGAGGTAGAAAGTCATTAATTTTTTTCTTCTTTTCTATTTTTATGAACTGCCCCCTGAGGACCACCTTAGAAGTATCCTATAGGATTTGAAATGTTATGTTCTTATTTTAATTAATTTATAAAATTTTTTTATTTTACTTTTTATTTCTTCTATGCTTGAATCTTAGACTAAGGGCAAAGGCCAAGTCATGCTCAATGGTGTGACTTTAAAATCCTGTGGAGCCCTCAGGCCTGTGGCCCTCTATCCAAAATTATTAATTTTAGAAGAATACTCTTTTAAAGACACAGCAATCATTTGTCTATTTGCTGTACTGAACAACTTGGAGCTGCTGTGATGCTGAACACTATTCCATAGTCGTGCCAAATACCATGATGGTTACCCATTATGTACAATGTTTGGATGAGCTTCCAGATTGATTAATGTGGGGAAGCAGGAGTGGCATCCACTTTCTAAACTAGATGCCTCTAGAAACTCTACAAACTCTCTTATAAATGTACAGAAATATTGTTAATTATAGAACAGAGTTCAGGTCTTTTGTGCAACGCTTACTCTGAGTCATATTTGACTCAACAACACTTAATCACTGCTAAATGAGACTACTGTTGTTATATCTGGAGGAATACTCTTCCACTGAAACTTATGCCATGGAATATCAAATACGATGATGGTTTCCTGATATGGACAGTGTTTGGTGGGACTCCCAGTTATAAAACAGGTTGGAAAGCAGGAGTAGCATTTACTTCCTAAACCACATGCCTCTGAAAATTCTATGAACTTGGAGAAACAATGATAGTTATGGAAAGGCATTAGGTCTTTGTTCACAGAGTCACTATGAGTCGACCTCGACTCAATGGCAATCAACAACAACACATGCAAAACCTATACTTGGACCAGGAGGCAGTCATCAAAACAGAGCAAGGAAACACTGCATGGTTCAAAATTGGGAAGGATGTGCATCAAGGATGGGTCCTATCTCCATGTCTTTTCAATCTATATGCAGAACAGATTACCCAGGAGCCTGGGCTCTTTGAGGAGAAGTGTGGCTTAGGATTGGATGTAGACTCATAAACAATCTGTGTTATGCAGATGACACAACCCGGCTTGCTGAAATTAAGGAGGACCTGATGCACTTGCTGCAGAAGATCAAGGACTACAGCCTTCATTATGGA